GGAGAACTGTGACACCCACACAAAGGCTAGACTTATAAGAATAAGGACATAAAAAAAAATAGGACTATTAGAATAAGTGCATTGAGGAATGGCCCTTTTGACCAGTATTATAATGTTCTAGGGATAGAATACGTTCCATTTCCTTGTTGTTGTTGTTGTTGTTAAATTTAAAGGAAGGGAGATGTCATATTACGTCATGCCACGTGCTCCCATCGGGCCTCGGGGGTTTGAGGCGGGACAGGAGCTATCCGCCATATTGTTCGCTCGTGTCGTCATGTTTTCAGCCGTTGCGTTATTAAATAAAGAACCTGCAAGACAATATTGTGACAACATGGTGGTCATTTATGGTCACCTTTGAGTACTCTTAGACCCTATCCACCGAATTATGTAGCTCGGCGATGGCAAATGGCAAGATCTGGGGGTCACGACACAAATTTACCGATCCTATGAGTCAAAGAATTAATAAGGTCATATCCCAAAGATCTTTACTTATAATTTACTCTGCAGAAGTCAACACCTCATATACATCGAAGCACAAAGCACTTATAACATTCCCCAACAGACCGCAGCCACACAACACGTTGAACGCACTCCCTAATCTACGATTACTCATAGTTACTAGACTGATTTCTACTATTTGAATTGCAAATATTTACCTCAAGCACTTTGTGAGCATAGAGGCTTATTGAGGGCCAATAACTAATGTTCGATGATTGCCGTTCAGATGCGCAACGCTAATGTTACAATTCCGTCACTTACCAGACTGTTGTTCGCTTTTCTCAACAGCTCTAGTAAGCTCGTGCCAATGGATATCTTCTGATCGCACTTGGCTTGTCGTGACCTCTTCGCTGAAGCTACACATGTACCAAGAAATTACTAAAATCATTCAAATTTATCATCCTATCTCGGCACATATCAATATAACGTATTGTAAATATAATACTAAGTCGCTCAGCACTTCGTAATCACGAAATTCTCTCACAGACTGCAGGGGCATCTAAAAATAGTTAAATAGCGAACAAGTTATCATTGAAAGATCATATTTATTAAAGCCGAGCATCGCGTTCGTTTTCTCACGAACGGCAAAAATCCCCCTCTTGGGGCCTACCGTTTGTAGACAGTTTTAGGCGAACTTGAGTGGTTTAGCTTTGGATTTGTGCCCATTTTATCGAATGTATTGCTGGATGATCGAAGGAAAAACAAACAGAATAAAGAGCAATCTGTTGTTCAGAGTAAAACGTTTAAAAAAAGAAGAATTCATCGTTTATGAAATAAGTGCTCGAGGACTTCAAGAATGCCGACAAGAAAACGAGATCAGATCTTGCCCGCGCAAACTACGATTCCATTCGGGTTGTTCATGCAAATGTCCGAGCAGGAAAGTTTAAAGGTTTTCCCCTGAAAAACTCACAATATATTGCTCTCTTACCGTTATCAAACGATTGGAGAAACATGTCAGGGTATTAATAAGACTTACAATTCTTCAGAAAGGCGAACGTTCGTTTGATTTTAATTTGCAAAATTTAGTTTCGGTGAGTTTGCTGCTCGTGCTGTTGTTGGGAAACCAGTTTCACGCTTTATAAATCCATTTTGAAATCACTAGTTATCCTTGCAATCTGATTGGCCTTCAGCAGTGCGATTTTTTCACGAATCGCACTATTCTTTTTTCTCAGCCAATGAGATTGGGACAGTAAAACAAAACAACCAATCACATTTCAAGGTTAGTTTAAAGTAAGCAATAAAATTTCAGGAAAATGAAAGACAAAAAGCCATTGTGTGGCGAATTTTGTAACAATTATTGTTGTTGTTTTTCAAAACTTTTGACGAATTTAATTAATTACAGTTTCTGAATGACGATTATGAGCCCCTTCAGGCTGAAGACCTAATTTACAGGAAGTTTCCAACACTCAGTGTTCATTTTGACGAATATTCTGGCGATTTTTCTTCAGCATCTGCTCAAGATCCGTCCAACAAAACATAAACAAACGAAAACCACACAA